GAAATTTTTTGCCGTCCTTTTAACAGAAATTCTTTGCATATCAAAAATAAATATTCTACTCCAATATGGATGCAATTCTATAAAAGAAAGTCCACAGTAATCTCAATATTTTTTCATGTCTGCGTTACATCAGAATTTTTCATTTCATGGACTATCGAATATATTTTTTTATTTTATTTTATGAATTTCAAGATACTGCGAGTCAATATGTTCGTGTTTAGATTATACTTGACAAACAGCAGGTGATAGCAATGAATGAAATTAAATGCGGCTTAATGTCTCACTTTTCTCAACCAACAGGGCTAACACTGAAATGAGCAAACTGATTTAGCCAACTAACAGACAGAAATGTGCAAACCGATTTATTTAAGCCAAAGGAAAACACTGAAATGAACAAACCGAATTATTTAAGCTCCAAGCTGATATACTGAAATAAGCAAATTGACTCATTCAAACGTGAGTAAAACACTGAAATGAGCAAACCGATTTATCCAAGCCAGAGTAAAACACTGAAATGAACAAACCAATGTATTCAAACCCCTGATACACTGAATTAAGAGTAAAGTACTGTCTGTTATCTTTTTTCTGGAAAAAAAGGTAACAGAATTTTTTTTTTTTTTTTTTTTTTTTCAGTCATAATTCTGAGCTGGGTGACCTGTTGGTATACCAAAGAATTTTTAGAATACCCAACAAATCACTTTAGATTTACCAGTGAACAATGACTTAGATTTAGAGATCTGCAAAAACAAAATTATCAAGGTCCTTTACTAAGGCTGTGCAAAAATATCGATATAATCGATAATCGGTAGAAGTTATTTAGTGATACGATTATCGGTATATTTACCTTCTGACGGCAAGTTACGGTCACTTTCACATGACTGAACTTGCCGTAGTCTGGCATGCAGACGCCTTCTATTATATTTTATTCTATTATTAGTAACACTGTGTGATCGCCAGTAACTCCCAAAGAGAAATCATGTATTGTCTTTGTATTTATCGGAGATATTGGAATAAAAAAAAGGTTCAAATGAATCAAGAACAAAACTTAGAATAATACTCAAGTTAATCCTACATTTAGCAACTAATTATTTTACATTAATTGATTTTTTTACGTACATCGGCACAGTATTAGACTAGGATAATAACACTACTGTAACTCGATCAACACAAATAACAGGTCGGTAAAGTTCGGTTTTTCCGGAAGAATGATAATCGATTATTATCGATAATCGCTGACAAATTCTTGCCGATAATCGATATTGAAATTTCATATTGATTCCCAGCCTTATCCTTTACTGAATTGGCACTTGATGACCTGGCGCCTGGTACGTTCGGGCATTTTTATGCGCGAACTCTTAGTTTTTTTTTACTGGCATGCGCACAGGTACTATTTCTTTTTCTTTTAACAAGTACCCAAATCGGGGATTTCGTGCGGAGGTAGTTCGGAGGTAAACAGTCTGTGAAGTACAACACTTGCCACTGTACCTGTGTATCGCTAATTATAAACCGAATGTGTGAAGACAGTTCATACACTAAACAAACCCATCGGTTTATTTTCTCAACAGTGTGACCCGAAGTGACCGCGGATTTATTGACCTTGTATGAACTTATCCATAGCAAACTAACCTGCCGCACATGAGGAAGTCATTATACTAATAATAAAAGGCGAGACCTCTTTTTGCGGCGCATGGCTTATCACTGAGTAGTAAACCGTCCACAAACAATAATATAGGAAGCCTAGTGACGAGTGTAGTACTGTAAGTAGGCTATAGACTATAGGTTTGAGTCGAGATTACTCGCTTTCAGTTTACTCTGTTTTTGCGATAACCAATTATGTGAGAAATACCATACTGACATTCGGTTTTTAAAAGTTGTACGCGAACTAAATGCGTTTGTTAGATACTGACAGAGCAGCCCCGAGTCGAACAATCACCGCCCGAGCTGTCTTCGTCAGCTAGTTTCACAATATCGTGCAATGGGTGTATTAATGTGATTTTTAGGTTTAACCCCGCAAACAATGCCAAAATAGTGTTTTCACTGCTTACAGAAAACTGAAATTTAAAAAAAAAATTTTTTATGAGGGTGACCCTCCCACACACTCCCTATCGAGCTGCCGCTCGGTCTGCGCAGCCTCATGCCTGGCATATATTGTCAACATTGTATATTTTTCCGTTTCCGCCCTTCCCCCCCCACAATATATATTTTACGGCTACGTTGCGACGGTACCAGCATACCCAGTTGTTGACACCCATTACATCACTCCTGTCTAACAAATCATAAAGCTGTGGTGTTACGGTGGCGGCATAGTATTTCACCATAACACCACAGCCACTCTAACCATTCATAATACACCTAACTATCCCTTTACAGCACTTCACTCCCTACACATTTCCCCTCGTCCTACTTTCCCAAACGTCAACAACACATCTCATACATCCAGTTCGCTGATTAACCCTTGTACCACGTCTACTGGATAAAAAGAGTTATTTGTAAACTGCAGATGATAGAGCTCAACTTGAATAACAATAATGTATCAGTACTTAATTTGTGTCTGACATTCCATAGAACAATGTGCTGCCAATTGAGCACTTCATGATCCTGTCAAACAAGATAAGATCATGTCCAATAAATGCATGAATATTTTCTAAACCATTAAGCCAAGTAAAATCAATGTTGTTGCCAAATCTGTACAGGACTCTTTATGTTTGATAGTTCTCTAAAAATCTGCACAAATATTTATCAATTGCTTGTTCCTGAAAAATTTCTTACTCTATTAAGGTTAAGAAGCTCCCTTATCTCCAAGTTAGAATTGTAGGCCCATACCACTACGAAAAAATTATTTCATATCACTTCGAATGGCATGTCTGTAAAACAACAAGAAATTGCATAATATCTTTTCAAATAGGACATTTGTTATAACTGTTATAACAAGTGAAATCCCTTATGTAACCTGATCAGCCAGGTCCACCATGTCTTGTAGAGTGGTGAGGGCCTATGAAGAGTTGTTCATAATTAGCATCGGTTTCGACCAATCACAGAAAAGGATGAGGAAACGCGGACTCACCCAGTCTCTGACCACTGAGCCGCTAGACTGATGGACCTTTCATCTGGAATTTAATATTTTTTTTTTCTTTTTGCCATGAACTGCGGGAACCCTGCGCCCATTTAGCCCATGTCTAAACATTGAAACATGACTGCAAGCCAGAGGTGACACATTGTACTACTAGGCCATCCCAACCCCCCTCCTAAAAAATTGTCCAAAAGTAGTTTACTGTTAAAAGAAAATGGTTAAATTTGCCCCAAAAACATTAGGGAGAGCTGAACTTCCCTTAAAACCCTCTGCCTAAATACACCTATATATATATATATACAGAAATATTAGAACAACTGTAAAGCTGCACTACTTTGATTCACAGTAAACGATGAAAAGATAAAAAGTATGCCGACACAAACTGATTTCAACACTGGTTTAATAACATTTTAACATATTAAAGTACTTTTCGTCCGTCTTGGGACTATTCATAAATAATGTCATTGTATAAAGATGGATAGTATAGTATATTTTAATATGTATACATATTTACATAGTAACACTGTGGTTTATATATATATATCATTAGTAATGACCAGAGTGTATAATGACTGGATAAACTGATCAAGCATCCCAACACCCCCTCCTGAAAAATCTCTGACAATTGTCCAAAAATAGTTTACTGTTGGAGGAAAATGGTTAATTTTGTCCCCAAAACATCTCTCGGGGCACATTGGGGAGGGCTGAACTTTCCTGCAATCCCTCTACCTAAGATCATTAGGAATGACCAGAGTGTAATGACAGATAAATAAATGTATCAAGCATATTAACTAACATGGAAAGATTGATTGATAAACAACGATGACACGATTGTTTAGTGATAAACTGACCAACCACACGAAACAAATGTCAATATAATAAATGAGCTTCTGCTTCAGTGTTTAATTAATCAGTTAACGTGTGGTTTAACATGTATATAGCTTTACAAATCATCTACATGTACAAGACTCATATATGACAACAACATATACTACTATCCACACTAAAAAGAAACTACCAATTTAAAAAGGTATGAATGAAATGAAATGGGGTTAACTGCCTACTTTTTCGCACCAACCAGCCTAAAGATGACAAGCAGATGCCATGGCAGGGGAGATTTTGTCTTACGCTTATTCAACTTCGAGCATGCCAGGCCCTCTGGCTTACATCGCTGACAAGGCCACCATATTGGAAAATCCAGAGGACAACACCAGGACTGAACTGCAAACTTTATTGGTGAGCCAGCGCCAAAAAAGAAAATCTAATTCAATGTTTTCATGACGACGAATATTCTATTAGCAAAATAGAAACCGGTGTTTCGGAAAATGCAGCCTTCACAATTAAAGAAGGGAACATATCCGGTATACACATCGCAGCTTGTAAAAAATGTTTTCGGACATTGCCCCAAAGACCATAAAAAAACGGCCCTAAAAGGATCATTTTCCTTTGTAATTAAACATTTTATCTTTCACTTTTGTACTTTAAATGTATGAAACACAGATAGTGGTATGCATATATATCCTACAGAATTCCTTATTTCGAGAGGGGGTCTTACCAGTGACCAATGCCATTTGCCAAAAGCATGAAAATCAGAATACTTCTTCATTTAATATATAAAGTTGGTTTTCCTTATAACCAGATTTCTTCACAATCTCTGTACATTGATGACAAGTTTAGAAATATAACAAAAATATAAACACAATGGATGGGTAAAAAGGCAATGAAACAACCTTGCTTCTCTTCAACAAGATGGAAGAATATTTGATTGTTCAAGAGTAATATTTTAAGAAACAACAAAATCCAACAAATGGGATTGTAGCCTGAGTGCTTCAAGTCAATTGGAATAAAAATAAACACTTTCTCAATGTTCAAGTCTCAAGACGCACCAAAACAATCAGTTTATTGTTTATTTTGTAAATTTATCACTTACTTCTTTTATTGGTTTATCTGTTATTTTCAGTTCTTCATTTACAGGAACAATATGGAGAAGAACCAATTCACAATGATCTATTGGAATTAAACTGGAAGAAAATTTACAGAAAGCATTAAAATTGCAAGATTTTTATTTAAACATACATTATGCAAGAGCTAAATCTGCCCATTGCAGGTCTTTCTTTAGGCCTGAAATGTTTTCTAAATTATTAATTAGACATTAATTAACTTATCCAGGCCATAATCAACTCTTGATGGCATCAGATTTCTCCGATATTAAATAGATTAGAACAGTTCGGTCATATTTTTATTTAAGCTAAAAATGAAGGAGCAAGACTTAGCTTCGAACAACCGGTACAGTGGTTGAAATTATTGCACACGTCTTGTTAAACCTTCAAAGCTAATATCTTCGCTCGCAATAGAGCAATTTGAATGAAATTTTCAAATTATTCATTTTGCATTATCTATTTTCGAACTATTATAGAAAGAATGGTCAGCTCTTTATCTAAATCTTACATAATGTATCTTTAATAGAATTGGCAACAAAATAACCACAAACAGCCAAGAATTCATTCATTCTATATGTTGAAATTAATATATAATCATAGCATGCTGGATTTCAAATGCAATTATGTGACCACTGTTGTACAATGCATTGTCTTATGTTTGTTGATAAAAAAAATGAAATGAAATGGGGTTTAACGTCCTACTGTTCTGCTCCTAAACTGGGCTAATGAAGACGGGCATACACCATACAGTGTGCTATGAGGGAAATTTTGCCTGGGCAGCGGGGCTACGGCCTACTCTTATATCAAATTCTAACTGCCAAGGGATCTTTTATGTCCACGCCAATATGTACACAGGACCTCGGTTTTTCGTCCCATCCGAATGACTAGACAGCTGTCCTTGTCAGGCCCTCTGATATAAAAAATGAATGTAAGCAAATATTTTAAAGATTCAGCCTTTTTATCGGTTAAAATTCTAGTACAGCAGCATTAAGTTTAATTTGAATAAGGCCCCAGTGCTTTTACTAAAAAGTGTTTCAGTCTGAAATTTTGATGCAACAAAATATCTATAATCCACAAGTTGCCAGGCAACAAAAAAAAGAGCTGACAACACCTACATCGTCTGATCAGTCTATAAAGATTGTTGGATTGTGATTCTTTAAATAAATAAAATTTGATCAGCTGATTTGTTGCAACAATGGAAAAAAGAAATATAGATTTTATGTAGATCCATGAACCTTATAATGTATTCTAAGGTCCATGGTAATCACAATCTGATTAAAACACAGATCCTATTTCGTTTCAATTTTATAGTTCAAAGGAAGAGTTGTTAATCGAATGTCTGACGTCATAGGGTCAAAAGCTGCTCGTATGACCTCTGACACGACCTATCGCTACAACTGGTCAGATCTTCATGTAGTGTAGTCCATCGAAAGTATAAAGAAACGAAACGAAATATAGATTTGTATTTTAATCAGATTGTGGTAATCAGATATTTAAATTGTACAGGTCTTACTAATCTGAACAATAAACTGTAGATGGGATGAATGTCTCTAGAGCATTACTACTCTGGAAGTAATAAATCTAACAGTGCTCATTAATCTAAAGATGGGTTGCCAGACAACGAAACATACGCCCACAGCAGCTAAGTCGTCCGAGCAGTTAACAACTGTTGTCACATATTTTTTCTATTGTCGGTAATGAAACATTTATAATACACTAAAATCTAATTAAGAGTAACAACACATTAAGTAATTATCAGAAAATCATTAGAATTTGTTTGACTTTTAGTTCTGTACCATGCTAACATTTAGTATACGAAGCATTTAATATCATGAATTTAGCTGTTAGTTATCAAAATTGATTGAAAATCAATATACTTGTTTGTCTCAGGACCTTAAACACTATGTATCAATCTAAAGTCAATCGGATGATAACTTTGGTCTCTAGAGCATCCACAAGATTTTTGAAAGTGATCAAGGGCCATAACTCTGGCAGTAATTATCGGAAATCGCTGAAAATCAATAGGCTTCTTCATTTCATGACTTTAAATACTGTGTATAAATTTAAAGTCGATCGGATATTAACTTTAGCCTCTAGAGCGTCCACAATCCGGCCGGCCGGACAGGGGCGACAACAATATTCGACCAGATTTCAGTGTGGGCATGTAAAAACAAAATATGATAACTCTTGCCACTAAGACACAGCCATAATATTTTACAAAGTCAGAAAGAGCAATAATTTTAGAAGTTGCTGGGGGAGTACTTTTCTTTATCTTAATTCTAGAAGTATGTTTGCTTAAATTTTAGTTACAGCTAAATAATGTTTTCTATCTCTACTAACATTTTTTGTTAATTGAATTTTTAAAAATTATATGGCACATCTGAAGTCGTATGGATAATATTAGGAACAAAAAGAAACCTGACAACCTAGTTGACTAAATCAGCATTACAGTCGGATCCCTAAATCCCCAGAGCTTCCCTAGATTGTTGAAATTTGGTGCCAGTTTATTCTGTCTATTGATGAATCTATAAAACAGACTGTCCCCAATCTGCAAATTCATTTTCATGATAGCCATCGCCTATACGTGCAAGTTAAATTGTAATCCATAAAATCGCACCATTTCAGATAAAACTGTGTTGATATCTGACTGACAGACGCCCCAACAAGAAATGAAAAACCAATTTTTATTAACAGACAGAAAGATACAATATTAAGTAACTGATTCTTCTGGGACTCCCATTTTATAATATAATCAGAATATAATGTGTTTTCATGTGTTCAAATTCATATTTGATATTTATGGAAGCTAGTAGACTGAATATATATTATTTCTCATTGAAATAAACTAAAATAAATGAAATGAAATGGGGCTTAGCATCTTACTTTCTGCACCAACTTGTCTAATGATGGCCATATGCCACGCAGTGGGCTATGCGGGGAATTTTGTATTGCACCCTACTCAGTCCATGCGAAATGATATTTTTTTTACTGGACATTTGGGCAGGTATTATTCCAACTATTACTGGACCGAATGAGATTTTACTGGTCCAAAAAAGTTCATACCAAAAATATGCATAAAATAAGTAATAATGGCCAAAAACTCGAAAAAACAACAAACAGTATATACATGTATAAGGGGGAAAATACTTTACTTTATTACAAAGATTATTTTTTGTACTAGACTAGCTCGATATACGGTACTACGTACTCGAGATAAGATTTTGTTTACATTTTAAACAATAGTGAAATTAACACAATAAATTAAACGAGAATTCAACACTAACAGTCCGTGCACAAAGTGCCGTCAGTCAGTGCCAATACGGCGATGATTTAATATTTGTAAGTTGAGTGTCCGTTAACCCGTCCACAAGCAAACCCATCCACGGTTAAGGTAAAACCGGTACTTGACTTGTATATTATTTAATTGATTAGAATAGATCAGTTTTACTCATTGTTGTTTATATTGTTTTATTTACCTAATAATCAACTAGCTTGGCTCGCCATCCCGACAGCGATTAGTTCGGGTTCAAATTCTTTATTCCTTTAAGCCAAAGACTCATCAGGTATAACATATAGCAGGGATAGAAACTAACGCTCGCCCATGTCCCTACTCATATTTTGATTTCCTAATCCCCAATGTAAACGTGTACATTGCACCCCACTCATATTTTGATTTCCTAATCCCCAATGTAAAAGTGTACATGCACTATTTATATGGTGTGATTCACCTATCATTTGACAACTCTACTAATCAGAATCAAGACAATTACAGATCTTGAATTATATGGGTGGAAATACTAGATAATATAATATTCCATATTAAATATCTATTATATAGTCCATGGTTTTATGTTAATGTTAAAGGGCATCTCTGGTGTCCACAGACTTTACATGTGTGTGAAAGAATTGGTTAAACACATTCCAAAGAACTTTTAGTATGTATATTGATAAATACAGATGGCCGTAGTCGTTTTAGAATGCATGTCAAATTGTGATTTGTTATCAATGTGGCCGAACCAGAAATAGTAACTTTTAAAAAAAGAAATCAATAATAGCATGCTTTTGGTTTATTTGTCGCTTCAAATGAAAGGCGCAAAATTAATCAAAACCAGGTGATATACAGGCTGTGTTTTCTAGCCTTTTCTGGTTTAGTGGCTGGGAATTCTCCGTAGAAATAGTCTGTTTCCAACTACAGTTTATTATCTTCTCACATTGTAATATAACAACTTTATCAATTTGAGAGGATTTATCAGTAAGCTGAAAATCGTTTGTGTATAGCTGTTACAGTTCTCTATGTTAGTTGGCAACAATAACTAATTTTCTTTTTTGCGGCATTTATGTCATCATGCCATCTTCTAATCGTGACAAAAGATTAACCATAGCAAAGATCTTTATGTTAAAATTATTCTTTCATTTTGTCTTGCAGGGCTCTCACTTCAAAAATTTACCAGTTGGTCAATTTTTGACATACCCGGTATCTTGTTTACATCAGTTTGACACGTTATTTTTTTTCCAAAATATATGACAATGTTTAGCATGTTCTTACACATAAAGACTATAATAAATGTTTTCTACTGTTAAATTGTAATAATTAAAAAAAATGTAAATTGACTGACAGGTTGGTCAATTTCACGACCGATCAGTCGACTCGGAACTGATAGCAATTAAATGGGCAACTAGCTTCAACTGACTGAACAAGACGCTTTGATTTCCAAGAGGCACTCGGGTCGACCATTTTCAGTTGAAGCCAGTTGCTTTCAGTTGTAAAGCCCCGCTTTAATATATAATACATTTGTTGTTCAGATTGATTAAAATGTGTCTGAGGAAGAAGATAAATGTATAATTGTCACTTTATGTATTCGCCAAATTCTATTGAACTTTATACTTAACAGAAATTTTCTCATTAATTTTGAAGAAAAAAACACAAAAAAAACCAATTACATTGAAGCCTTGGATAAAAATGATATGAAAGCTATTTGTAAAAAAATAATTTGCCACCCAGACATGATCATCAACAGGTCTGACCTCAAGTTACACATCTTATCTTAAAATATTATTTATCTAAATTAAATATTATATAC